CTTGTCTGTTCAATCTTTTGCCTGCAGCTTGTGCGTCGTCTCAGAGGTAGTGAAGACAAATAGTGCCGTTTCAGAGCTTTACGCTGTGATTTTTAAAAGGGATTAGGTTACGTAGAGTGAGACAAGATGTATACAGGCCTAGGCTCTTAACCTTAAGTCACCTCAGCTCCCTTGTAATCCTTATGAAAAATTTATTCGTTTTGCCTGTGGCATTTTCATCAGATGTAAATGTTTGTAATAAGTATGTGTGCAGCATTATATAAGGTTAGCACAAATTATATGGGTTGTTTTTATGATGTTTTTGGCTTTAATCAGTGAAGTCAGGCTTGCAAGCGCAGCGCGAAATAGCTGTTGAAGATGCTGGGTTGCAATATATAATTTGAATGAAACGTCTGCAAACACAAGATGACTGAAATGTCAGCGGAGAGATGCTAGCACATCTGCTATTGGAATAGAGCTGTCCTTATGTTTGAATTAGGAGGACATGTTTCAGGATTGAAGATGATGTTATTGGCAGCACACCTTGAGATGTTTTGAGCACTTATTATGTAGTGGAAACCCACATTTCAGCACAAGTCTCACCACAGTGTTAAAAAATTAAGGAATGGAAAGCTGCGTCTGTCTGTCTATCTATCTATCTATCTATCTATCTGTCTGTCTGTCTGTCTGTCTTTCTTTTATATCTAAAAATATACACTAAAAATATGTTTGATTGCACTCTTGCATTTGTAATATGTTTTGAGAGTGTTATTCAGATTTGTTGATCCATATATTTTATTGGGCTGATTTATTAACACATTCACATTAAAGATGAATGGAGTCAGTGATGCTGAGATTATCCATAAATATCCATAAATCTAAAATCACTTATCCAACATCTCAAAAACATGTTTTAGTCTTTCATGACACTTTAAAGATTTTGTTTAGGTTGTGCATCTCTTTCATTCTCAGAATAAAAGCAGATCTTTCAATCTAGTGCTATCAAATGATTAATCGCGGTTAATCACAAAATATATACTGTATGTGTTTGTATTTATATATATACATAATAAATATACACAGTATACACACATATATTATGTGAACAAAAACTAATTCAATCCTTTAATTTGCATTTAATATTAATATGCAGAGACAAATTTTATAACAAACTAGATTGTCGTCTTTTTGTAACTTGTGACCTTTTTGCCACATAATAGTTTGCTTTCACTTAAATGATTAGATCTGTTCAGATGCAGTATTAGATATGATTATTCTTAAGTTTTTGTTATGTTATATTTATTTCATGTTATGTTTTACTTTAACAGACTGTATTTGGGCAGAATCAGTGACACTGCCACTTTAAAGGGTTAGTTCACCCAAAAATGAAAATTCTGTCATTAATTACTCACCCTCATGTCGTTTCAAACCCGTAAGACCTTCGTTCAAGGGGTTCAACCGTAATTTTACGAAGCTACGAGAATTTTTTTGTGCACAAAAGAAAAAAAAAGACTTTATTCAACAATTCGTCACGCCGGATCTGTTTCCTATGTTGTTGTGATTTGATCTGAATGAAAACAGCGTATCCGCGTGACACAGCTGACACAGAACAGCATACGTTGTTTATGTCCAGCGGATACTCTCCAAAATGGCGCTACAGGGTGACACGGAGGAGACGAATTGTTGAATAAAGTCATTTTTTTTTCTTTTGTGCACAAAAAAATTCTCGTAGCTTCGTAAAATTACGGTTAAACCCCTGATGTCACATGGATTATTTTACCGATCTCCTTGCTACGTTTCTGGACTTGGGAACATTTCAGTTGTATTGCTGTCTATGCAGGGTCAGACAGCTCTCAGATTCCATCAAAAATATCTTAAATGTGTTTTGAAGATGAACGAAGGTCTTGCGGGTTTGAAACGACATGAGGGTGAGTAATTAATGACAGAATTTTAATTTTTGGGTGAACTAACCCTTTAAAATGATCCAATGAGATGTTGGCCATCATGTCGGCGCCAATAGCCTTGTGGGCAGCGTGCCGACATACAGCGCTGTAGAGCTACGGGCGTCCCAAGTTCGAACCCCGACTCGAGGAACTTTCCAGATCCCACCCCCCTCTTTCTCTCCCACTTTGCTTCCTGTCAGCTCTGATCTGTCCTATCATAATAAAGGCAAAAATAGCAAAAAAATGTATCTTTTTTTAAAAAGAGAAAAAGAAAAAGAAAAAGAAATTGGCCGTCATCCAATCAATGGACTTGTGTTGATTGTAACAATCTACTCTCATTACCTTCTCTTGAAAAGCTCGCTTTAGCACAACAAGCTTCCGCAAATGACTTACAGAGCTTGTTTTAATTCGTCAAATGGAGATAACAAATTAAGAGCCATTTACACCCTTGGCATCTGCTCGAGTTTATTTTCACTGGTTGCTAAGGAAACTCTCCTTCCCAAACTCCCCGACTGACCTTTCTTTGCGAAAGTTGACTGACAGCCGGAATGTAGGTGTGTTTGCTGAACTTGAGAGCTTTTTGGACCAAAGCTTATGTCTGCGGATTGCGCGTACCTGTCGCTACATGCCCTGGTAGTTTGACGAGCAGGTCGTTCCTGGATCTTGACTGTTTTCTGTCGCTGTGAGTTCTTTGTATTTTAAGCCCGGAAGGCTTTACCTTCCCTCACCTGCCTACAAAGTGCCAGACTCTCCTTACCGGTCTGCTCAGAAGGAATTCGGATGACTTTTCAACCTTGGGGTCGTGACGGCTGGGTTTCAATAGCAAAATTGTGTGAGGTCACTTCAAAGGAAGGGAAGCTTGAAAGAATCCATTACTGTGTGTTATAAAGGCACAGAGGATTTCCATTCTGATTTAACAGTGCAAAAGAACTAGAAACACCTTGAGATATGCATTCTATCCATTAATTTAACCAAAATGCTCTGCATTTTTCAAAAGAGGCTTTAAAATGCCTATTGATTTCCATGCAACTCTATACGTCTCCAACTGGGCCTGAAATTGCGCTATTTCTAAACCTTCTCCCTTGTGATTTGCAACGGCCTTGCCCTCTTTTAAAACTCTGAGTCATGTTTTCTTCAGCTTGATGACGATGAAGTTCGCCTCGGCTCCCATATGACACGAAAAACGCTTTGTTTGCTATTCAAATTGAAGCGCAACATCAGTTTGATGCTTTTTTACCACAATAGGGTTTCATTTTAGTGACAAATTCACATCTGTCGCTCCAAAATACCGCAGTATTTACTTGATACCTGCCTCATTGAGTTTAGATCACGTGTAGCCAGTTTTTACTTGGCATCTGAAGTCTAATTACTTTGATTTGTTTTGACTCGAAACATCTTTGGGGGAAAAATGGTAATATGGCGTCCTGTGGGATTGCGAGGTGTGGTTGTCATGTTCGGATGTGTTTGCCTGTTGGCATACGTCCACTTTTCCATGGATCTGTGTGTGAGAGCGAGGATGGAGGTTGAAAACGCCTGGTTTCATCAGGGCACGTTGCTGAGCGCAGCAGGAAGAATCTCATCTGAGTCACTTGAGCAGTTTGTTGAGTGCGAAGGGAGGGTGAGACGTCAAGTTTAAGTGAAGGACAGAAGAAAACACCTCCTGACTTGCTGTGCGTTACGCTTAGCACACCATGTTCTCACCATCGCACAAAAACTGAATGAGACCCTTTTTGGTACCATGCATGGAAAAATTCGCTCGCAAATGGTTCATTTCTTGGTGTTTTTCTCACTGTCTCTTGAATCCACAAAGGGTTTTTCCTTCTCTTCCCCGACGCTTTGAATAGTAATTTTGATTAGATTGGACAAGAGCAGCGGAGTGAAAAATGAACCGAACAATGCAGTGCTACAAACCTCTGTGGTGCTTTAAACAAGGCTGCCCATGTGCCCTCTGTGATGATGTAATGGCTGTACAACAGATAGTGTGTGTGTGTGGCACGGAAATGGGCAGGATTTTACTGTGCCAAATGAGGCTTGTGTTTTCGCGGTTATGTCGGTTCATGTAGCCAACATGACAAACATGATTATTAGTAACAATTAATGGAACACTCCACTATTTTTTAAAATAGGCTCATTTTCCAACTCCCCTAGAATTAAACAGTTGAGTTTTACCGTTTTCGAATCCATTCAGCCGATCTCTGGGTCTGGCGGTAGCACTTTTAGCTGTAGCTTAGCATAGATCATTGAATCCGGTTAGACCGTTAGCATCTCATACCATGGGTGCAGCAGGCGCAATGATATTATAACCAACAATGATCTATGCTAAGCTACAGCTAAAAGTGGTACCGCCAGACCCGGAGATCGGCTGAATGGATTCGAAAACGGTAAAACTCAACTGTTTAACTCTAGGGGAGTTGGAAAATGAGCCTATTTTCAAAAATAGTGGAGTGATTGAAATTGAGAAATAAATTGACTTATTTAAATAATAAATAACTAAATAATTTTTAAAGGCAACGTTAGCTAGGTTTATCCATCCATTAAAAAAAAAAATAATAATAATTTGATTTTTATCCATCTATTTGTTTTAAAAACAATAATTAAATTTAAGTATGATATATTTGTCTATTTGAAAAGTTATTTTTTGTTTATATTTTTACACAATTGATTCCTTCAGTTTACTTTTAAGGGACACTCCGTTGTCAGTGTATGTATTCAGAAAAAAAAGAATAATCCTTCCTTTTTTTCAAATTGACAAACAAATAAACTGTTCATCTGTCATTTAAAAACAAGAATTAAATCTAAATTATTCATTTGAATATAAATGTAGCATTAATTTGTCAGTTTGAGAAGTCATTTATTTACATAAAAAAATTACATTTAAAAAATATTCTTAAGAAAAATAAAACTTAATTCAACATGCATCTGTTTTTTCATGATTTTCTGATTATCGTTGATGATTTCGTCAATAATATTCCAAGTCAATGGCCATAAGGATTGTCATATGTGTAGAAGCAATGTATATTGTTGGTTGAAATTAAAGACATCATCACTTACTAAAGTTTTCTGTCTGTTTCTTTCCAGATTCCTTCGTTAACAGTCAGGAATGGACATTGAGTCGATCAGTACCAGAGCTCAAAGTGGTGAGTGATCTTCCCACCCTTTGCTTTGTCATTTTATCTCTTAAAATTATGCGGAACAGTTGATCCTGACATGAATTTATTCAGCAAGCAGTGAGTTGTCAGTAAGTCTCTGTAATGATATTTCTGCTCATGTCACTCTTGAGTTATTCTGCTGATGTTCCCTCAGAATGGCCACCAGTCAGAAAATACAGAATTCAGTAATGCTTCATACACAATATCACTGTCAAAATGTGACTGGAATAACTCAATTTATGCTATATTATTTTGTACACCACAGATCATAGTTTTACTAGTATCAGTATCGGCTTCATGGAAGAATAATCCAACTCCAGAATCATAATTGTCCCATTTAAAGAACACCCTCATTCTAACTTCTTATTATGAGGCAACGCAATGAAACCATATGCTCATAAAGCTTTTACATGCAGTCTTCCCCTAATGAAGTTTCTATCCTCCTCTTTGTTCTTGAGGCCTGCGGCGGCCGCTTAGGTAACGAACTGCTCGTCTGGGCCTTTATTACGGAGGAAGATTGTTACTGTTTGAACCTTGTTAACAGTACACACCACCCTCTGATGAACCCAAACGCTGCTAAGTATGAGCCTCCAGTGTTTAAATGATGACGGAGGAGGAGGATGTTTGGGGTTTTGGGAAAAGAATGGACAGAGTTTTTCCATGTCCATGACGAAAGCAGGATTCAGTGCTCTTTTGAAGGTCAACTTGGTCCTAGTGATGCATGACCACATTGTCAATAGCTGGTGTTAGTGTTTGTTTAATGCATTTAAATTTTGATTTAATTACTGCCATTAATATTGTACAATATCAAAGAGGGCCATTTTTAAAAACTTATATTTACACTTTTTCATTTAATTTCATTTAACTGGTCTGGTGTATTTAGCCATAATTAAGGTAAACATTGTGTTAATATATTAACTAAAATATAAAAAATACGTATTTGCTATTATAATAATAATAAGTTGTATTACATAAGTGTTGTTTAATTTATATATTATTTTATATTTAATAATAATTCATATTAATAATAATTAATAATTATTATTGTTTATTAGTTGTTTGTATGTATGTATATGGATTGTGTTGATTTAATTATTGTCATTATATTGTTAACAAATAATATAAAAAATAATTCCTTTTTTAACTGATATTTACACTTTATTTAATTTAATTTAACTGGTCTGGTGTATTTAGCCATAATTAAGGTAAACATTGTGTTAATATATTAACTAAAATATAAAAAAATATTATTTGCTATTATAATGATAATTAGTAGTATTAGTATTATATAAGTATTATTTAATTTATATATTATTTATATATTTAATAGTAATAATTATTATTATTATATAATTATAATAATTGTTTGTTAATTGTATATATGTACATTGATTGTGTTGATTTAATTATTGGCAGTATAATGGTATAATTTAGCTGCCAGACCAGTTAAATGAAATGAAATGAAGAAGTGTAAATATAAGTTAAAAAAAATGGCTTTGTAACAGGTTTTTTTTGTTATTGACATTTTTAGCTGTTATTAATACCTTATCATTTAAATGTTGGTTCTGCATATTGTTTAGACAGACTTTTCACATTTTCTATGGTGAATATCAGGGGGGCAATCATCATGTGGAAAGGAATTTAAATATCGAAAATGTGTTAATCTGAGCTGTTTGTCTTGGTAGCTGAAAGTCAAATGATCAAAAATAATAATTAGCGTTCAACATTCAAAGTTCAGCGGAATTTGAATTCTTCAAAAGTCTCCATCTGTCTTTATTGGTGCTAACCTCATCGTTCCTTTTCAATATTTGTTAGAGGAAGTCCTAGTGCTGAGCGGTATGACCAAAAATTTATATCACGGTATTTTTCAAAATTATACTGGTTTCACGGTACATGACGGTATTTATTTTTTTCATGCATGACCGGGTGTTAACCATATTTTCTACTGATTGAGAGAGGAAATACTGCAGTATATTGACTTAGAATGCCCTATTTTACTGTCATGATGAGTGAATATTGTCAAAAAATACCACTAAATAGTGACTAAACGCGACCCCTTTTAATACATGTTAACCAGGAGTCACTCATTTATAATCGCGGCATCGTCTCATAAAATCATCATGCATCTACACTAAAGAGTGGCTATGCGGTTGTTTTGGCTATATTACTTTTTTGTCTCATGCAGCGCACTGCCTGCGTCTGAGTAACAAACTAAAAAAAACAACAAACAAAAAAGTGCATGTGATATGAACTACGCTCATATTTATAATTCCAAACAATCAGTAAGCGACAAGTGCTAGGAAACGCTGTTTTGTACTCATTTATTGACGAGTCGGCTGCGGTGCGGCCAACTGAATGCGCAGCTTCTCTGCCGCTCACTGCACAGAACAGACGCCGAGAGAGGTGACACTTCTCCGGGAAAGTCAGACCTCGCGCT